TTATTTTCATGGTTATAGCAACTGATCCAAAGCTTGGTGAAATAAAGTGAAATTTTTATTAACTTTGCTGGGCTTTGAATTAAGCCCGTGGGGCATTGTAGTTTGATTCTGGTTGTCTCTTTATCTTGTCATCTCTCACCATGCAACAACAGATACCTTTCCCTGATTTGTACAACACTGACAGCACAGTATTTGTATCCACAATCATCCAGCAGCACTTGTCTAAAAATAGCAAGTAGCTGCAGAGGGGGGAAAAAAAATCAGAATCCAGTTGTATGTTTATTTAAAAACATTTGCTGTATATACAACTCCAATCTAAAACACACCGGATGGTGTACAAAATTATAATATAACATTGAAATATGAAAACAAAAAACTAGAAGGTTGTCCATAGTTTTTCACAAAGGGTAAACAGCTTTCATTGCCTTGAAATGTCAGGCAAAAAAGGAGCCATGCTTATCTCTGGGCAGTATATTTTATAATGTGGGAGCCTCTACCAAGAAGGCTTGCTTTCTGACCCACACCCATATGCTAAAGTCATATTTAATAAAGCAGTTCCCAATGCACTGAAAAATGTTTGGTATTACTTTGGTGTATATTGTAACTACGTTAGTAAGCAATATTTTAATGTATTAAAAATGTCTAGGTCCAGTGCCGACCTAGAAACCAAGCGATGGTGAGTTCAACTCCCATCTTGGGCATGAAAGCTGGCTGGATGACTTTGAGCCAGTCATTCTTTCTCAGCCCAACCCAGTCACAGGGTTGTTGCTGAGGAGGAAATAGGAGATGGAAGGTGTATTGGATGTGTTTGCTGCCTATTTGTAAAAATAATAAATGCAGTATATAAACAGAAAACAAAACAAAATGCAGTTTCTGGTCTATAATTCATCTGGAATCCCAGCTATCAAGATCCCACATAATTTCTTTGTTCCAGAGCTGACATTGTTGTCACTTTACTTTCTCTACAACTTCCTTCTTAGACTGATGCAGACCGCAAGCATGGCAATTACAACTCTGATAGCTTTTACTGACCTTAAAGCAGAGATAGAGGGTGGTTATTTAGTCAGAGAGCAAAGAATTTAAGAGAAATTTCTTTGCCTTGTAATTATGCCTAATGCTGCAAGCTCCTAGCCAAAACAGGAATACCAAAAATAGTTTTAAGACAGTCAAACACCAGAGATTTCCACAAAAGCCAGTCTAGCTTAGGGTCTGATTGCAGGCAATGGGGCAGGAAGTATCTGGAACACATTCTTTATAGCCAGAATTCCTGGCTATGCTTAATTAGAGCAGTTAATGCCCCTTCCTTTTGAACTGTACTGACCTTTACTGCTTAGCTCTCTTTAGCAGGCGGCATGAGTTAGGACTTAACACTCTCCTGAGGTCAGGCTCCTTGCTTTTGGAATCAGTGGTCATCTGGGCTGAGTTATTCACCAGTGCCTGACAGCTTCCTGAACTGTAGGCTGGGAATGTGAGGTTTTCTTCTGTCTCCAAATCTCTGGAATCAAAGGAGTCCAGAACAGTTTCTCTAAGGTAGGCCCCTTGAGGATCCACCAATGGGAGCAAACTAGCACCTCTCTCAAGGAAACTGGAACATTTCTATTTCTCAGTGAGGTATTGACTGCAGCCCAATAAAGAACTCCTAGTTCCCTCCCATGCCATTTTAACTAGATAAATGAGTGGATCATATTCACAAACTATCATGCTTATCCCCTAGTTTTTCACAAAACTTGTCCACTTTTTCACAATCCATAAACTCAAGAACCTTCCAAATAGCATTCCAAGTAGATGTTATCTGTATCACTTCATTGGATCTCACCCATCCAGCTTCAAACTCAGAGTGGATTTTATTATTTTATTTACAAAATATCTTAGCAAATTTGCACACCTTGAACTTGGTGATTCAAATCCAAAGATGATATTTTCATTTTTATTGTTTGTTTAATAGGAATTCAAATCAAGAAATGTTTGGAAAACTGCTGAGAGAAATTAACTTGTAATTAATCAATTAATTTTAAAACATTCTATGATCTGAAATTGAGTGTGGTCTAGTGGTTAAGTATCAAGCTAAAAACCAAAAGACTGAATTCTAGTCCTGCCTTCAGCATGAAAGCCAGCTGGGCAACTTTTGACCAGTTATTCTCTCTCAGCCCATAATGTCAGATTGGGAAATATTGTTATTTTTCACCCCTAAAAGATTTCAGTTTCTTTTTCAATTAAATTGTATGGCTTATATGTTATATAAATGGAAGAAATGGTGAAGTGATTTATCTTGGTCTGATTTTTTTTACATCTCAAAAACAGAATCCATGAGAAAAAAGAAGCCATTTAGGTCCAATCTGGGTGCCTGGTTGGGGTGTGTTTGAGCTGGAGGTATCAGGGGGAGTCTGTTTGTGCCCAGGTGTTTGCCTGGCTTGTGGTGTGGAGATTTTTTTTGTTTGAGAGTGCAGGCTTCCAGATAATTGACAGTCTGGTGGAGTCATCTCTTCTATTCATGCTTTCAGGTCTTTTTTCAATCTCTATGGCTTCTCTGATAATTCTGCAGCTGGAGTTTTCTATAGTGGCTAGGGTTTTGGTGCCATTGAAGTCGATGCTATGACCTGTGGCTTTCATGTGTTGGACTAGTGAGGAAGTGTGTTCCAGCATTTTTACTGCATTTTTGTGTTCATCCATGCGGGTACTTATTCTTCTATTGGTCTGTCCAATGTATGTGGCCGGGCATGATGCACAGGGGACTTCATATATTTTTCCAGGTCAATTTTATCTTTGGGGTTTCTTAGGATGGCTGCTATTTTTCTGTCTGTTTTGAAGGCAGACGATGTGATGCCTGTGTAGTATCTTACTGATTTTGTCTGTAGTACCTCTTATGTAGGGCAGGACAGCTGTTCCATAGGTCTGTTCATCTTCTAGGTCTCCATTATGTCTCAGTGCATTTTTGTGGATCAAGCGGTGATTTTGCTTTTGTGGAAGCCGTTAGCTGTCAGTACTTTAGTCAGGGTGCATAGTTCAGTCTTTATGTGTGTCTTGTTTGCCAGGCATTTGGTTCTGGCGATTAGTGTTTTGGCCACGGAGTTTATCTGTGCTAGGTGGTGGTGGGATTGGGCGTTGAGGTAGCGGTTGGTGTGTGTTTTCTTCTGGTATATGGTGTGTCCTAGTGTGCCATCTGTTTTTTTGTAGATTAGTACATCTAGGAATGGTAGTTGTTTGTTTGTTTCCGTTTCCATGGTGAACTTGATTTTGGGGTATGTGCTGTTTAGGTGTGTTAGGAAATTGTTTAGGTTGCTTTTCCATGGGGCCAAATCACAAATGTGTCATTGATGTATCTTAACCATAGTTTGGGTTTGTGGGTGGCATTAGCCCCTGGATTCAAATTCTTTCATGAATTCTATGCTATTTTTCCTTTTTTTCCCCCGACCATCAGCTGTTCTGCTCTGCCAGGAGATTTAGATTAGCTAGAAAGCAGGAAATCCTTGGCTTTCTTGCTTTCTAGCTAATCTAAAAGCAGAGCCAAACCTTCCTTAGGACTGAAGTTTCTATTTTTCAGGGCAGACTCAGGTAGCCGATTGGAGATAGATCTCTAAGTGAATCTGTAATTCTCTGAGCAACTCAATCTGCCTGCCTACTCTGCCTGCTTTTGGATAAAAGTTGCTCTTTTTTTATAAAAAAATTCAATATTTGCATATATGGTGTTTTGTGAGTTAATTTTGTGAGTTTGCTTGCAAGCAAATTTTATGTGACAGACTCAGGTAGCTGATTGGAGATAGATAGATCTCTAAGTGAATCTGTGATTCTGTGAGCAACTCAATCTGCCTGCCTGCTTTGCCTGCTTTTGGGTAAAAGTTGCTCTTTTTTATAGAAAAATTAATATTTACATAACTATTTATAATATTTACATGCAAGCCATGACCAACCAATCACATGACTACCAAGCCACACCCACAAATTAGGCCACACCCACACTACCGATTGTTAGAAATTTGAATCCCACCTCTGCAAGTAACTGTATTTGCATAACCAACCAGTTTTTCATTACCCCCTCCACCATGGCTCATTCACTTTTAATCCTACATCATGCTAGCTACTTTATTTATCTGAAGAAATGAGTTAACAGCTCACAAAAGTGTGTGCTTTTTAGTAACATTTATTAGTGGGAAAAGGTGCTACCTCACTCCTTCTGAAAGTCTTTAAAAGAAGTCTCTATGTTTATCTCATCATAGTTGGAGTATCTAAGGCAGAGAGTCATCTCAGTCATTATTCCCAGGTTTGAGAGTTTCCTGCCAACCAGACTAGCTTTGTATTTGATAGATACCCTTTCATTAGAAGGCAAAAAACAGGATTATTCAGACAGGAAAATATTTTGCTGAATTGGTTTATTTATTTAGTGTGTTACTTGGATATTTGTATTTTGTTTTTAGATTATTTTTTCCCCTAATACAATAAGTAGAAAGGTAATATTTATATTTGTACAGAAATATATATTTGATGTTTATTTTGGCATTTGAAAACTAACTCTGGGTGCCTTGCTACTTTTTCTTATCTTAAAACTTTCTCATGTGATAAAAGATTTTTCAATTAACAGCTCATTATCTTGGTAAATATACCAAGATTAAGCCAAACATGCAGCATTTCTGTCGAGCAAAATGATAAGTGTATATTTAACAGTTCTTGGAATCTACAACTTGTATTTTATGTAAGTTAATCACCCTATAACTAGAAATAATAGTTTCAGAAATGGCTGTTCCTTATCCAGTCTGTCTTGTAAAAGGATAATATTTCCTAATTAATTCTTTGTTTCTTGACTATATGTAACCTCTATGACAACTTTATCTGAATCTTCAATTTGTTGATATATAAGCAGCTGAATGTTAACAGCAATTTCGTATTGAGACTTATTTATTTTTTATAAGCATAGATCTGTAGATATTATATGTGTTTTCCAGAGTGTGTGATATCTTAATGTCTTTCGTAGTGGCTGAACCTGATTTAATTTTCTTTCTTTATAGCTTTAATAGTGTGCGTCAAGGAACTCATATTTTGTTCCGAGAGTTCAACTTTGTCCAAGCTACACCCCATAATAGAACATCCTTTCTAAGGACTTTTTGGCAATGCTTCAGGACAGTGGGGAAAAATGGAGGTGAGTCTTTAAAAATTTGTCTTAATTTTAAGCCAAAAGTGTGATAACTTTTTGTCTAAAATTTTTGAATCAGTAACAAAATCTGCAAATTTGCAGTGGTTTTAAATATACTTTATATTCTTTTTCTAGATTGTGTTTTTTCCTGTGAGCTTGTATAGGCTACAATTAACATACAAAAGAGATCAGTAATAGGATTTTTAAAGACATATTTGCAGAATAAATCTTGTCTCATACTAGGGAAAATTAAATGTATGGTTGGATTACATAAGTAGAAACCAGTGTGAGAATATGTTAAGGAGTTTAATGACCAATCCAGTATAGGACCCTGTTTTTCTCATCATATTAAATGAATACATGGATGGATACACTTAATTTAACTCTTCCATTAAAAACTGTCCGGCATGGGAGACCCATTTGGTAGAATACATTACTGCCAGTATAGTTCTCAACCTCATAGAACAGGGATCCCCAACCTTTTCGACGCCGCGGCCCGGTTCCGACATCAGCTGGGCGCCGCGGCCCGGTACCAGCGTCAACTGGGCGCCGCCATCTTTTTATGACGAAAAGGCGCTTCCGGTGACGTCACCGGAAGCGCTGTTTCGTCATAAAAAGATGGCGGCGCCAGCGCTTCTGGTGAGCTTTTTCGGGTAGAAATGGCTTTCTACCCGGAAAAGCTCACCGGAAGCGCTGGCGCCGCCATCTTTTTATGACGAAACAGCGCTTCCGGTGAGCTTTCTACCCGGAAAAGCTCACCAGAAGCACTTTTTTACCAAAAAAAGGATGGCGGCGCCCAGCAACCAGCGGCCCGGTAAGGCTTGTTCCGCGGCCCGGTACCGGTCCGCGGACCGGCGGTTGGGGACCCCTGTCATAGAACATAACAAGCCCTTCCCCCACAACAAGAGGGTATCCATGGAGGGATTGAGTGGATGTTTAGACTGGATTTGACTTTTTTATCTACCTATCTAGTCCTTCCCAAGAAACCTGGGAGAGGCACATGCTATTTTATGGTGTTAAAGGTATTGTCACAGGATGTAATTTCCAAATAAAGCTTTTAAATAGTACCATTCTTACTGAGAATCATGGAGGAGGCTCCATGATGTCATGTGTTGCTGAGCTGCCTCTAGCATCAACTGGCTGAAATCAGTGTAGAGCACAATGAAATCATACAATTATCAAGGCATTCTGGAGTGAAACATAATTTCCAGTGTTAGAAAGCTATGTCTCAGTTGCAGGACATGGGTCCCCCAACAGGATAACAACCTAAAATATATATCTAAGGGGACCAAAGAATTGTGAAAAGCAAATATTAGACTGTTCTGAAGGGACCTGATTTGAGTCTTGATCTGGATCCAATAGATCATCAGTAAAAAGAGATGAAACTCACAGTTGGGAAAAGGAAGCCATCAAACCTAAGATAACTGGAGCAATAGACAAAGTGCCAGTTGAAAAAAAAAAGAACAATTAAACCCATTAATTAAAATTATAAAAATATACATACATACACAAGGGAAGGGAATATCATGATAAAGGCCATCTAGCTGCCCAGCTAAAGCAAGCAAGCATCTATATTAGGAAGCTGTGATATAAAAATTGCTGGAGCTAGATCATATCAGTAACAATGGCAAAGGCATCATTTCACACTGCATAGGACAAAGCAACGGTAAGCCTCTCTTTTTTTAAATGATTGTTGTTAGGTATAACATTGATACCAAATATGGTTTGGGTGAATAAATAT